TATTACACATAGGTCCCTAGAAACTTGGGAGTTATTTTGGGATTTCGAGGGACTTTTTGTGAATTAATTGTCTTGTGTGGAACCTGAGTGTAATTTTCCCTTTTACAATTGTCCTTTATTAATTGTACTATAAACAAACAGAGCTAGACCATATAAAAAAGATATTAAAAATGATTAAGATAGATTGATGATTTTAATTGGAGGGTAATATTTGGAAAGTAATAATAATAATTCTTACCATTTTAATGATATAGACTACCTTTCTTAATCCTTGTAAAATAGTTGGAAGAGTCTCATATTAACGAGGGTTTTTTTTTTTGTTAATGTGCGCAGATCACTGAAAATGGTCCTTGTGATATTTATTAGGAGCATCTTGACAACGGAAAATCTTGAATAGAAGAGAAAATGGAATTAATTAATCAATTAATTAATAATACTATAGACATGTTGTTTCAAGACCCTTCATTATCGGGGAAGGGATGGGAAGGGATGTTTTTCTTTTTGGTTTTTTTTTTCCAGAGTTGATTAAGTGGGGCTCTCAGCCTCTTGCAAATCACAAAACAATCTTTAACAGTAAGATTCTGATGGGATTCCTTTCTTTTTCCTAAGGATATGAGCTTCCTTCAAATTAGTTATGGCCTCAAGTGTTAATTTCATTATTAGACACTCGTGGGGCCCTCCAACAATGACATTCTAACAGACATAATTACAATATTGTTATTTTGCGTCACCTTCATGGCACAATTATTACTTTCATTATTCTTTGTTTATTACGGGTATAGCCTTAATTGATCTTCCAAAACAATTAAATTAGAAATTTAGAAGTATATTTATATTAAAAATGAATTTAGTGTATAATTAATCTAGTTCTAATCACTTCCTATAAACTTTCTAGGAAAGTACCTTTTTGGCCATGCTGAATTTCTGCTTTGTCATATGTGTGATAATTATTATGATGTGGATTGCATTGAAATAATTGGTCCAACTTTGGAATAATGTGTCTAACCAAATAATTTTTCTAAAAACGACTTGTATTGTGGACCAGGAGGAGTACCTGTTTAGCATCAATATTATTTTTTTATTGATTAATGTCATGCTCTCATACTACATAAATTAAAGAATATCGTTAATATAATGAAATTGCTTTGAAATATTGTAATATATATGGTCATTAATTTGTTATATATTTTCTTTCTATATTCATATCTCCAGCTTCATAATTAAAGTTAGTGAATAAAAAAGTATAATTGAAAAATTAGAACTATATATCCTAAAAAATCTTTACAAGCCGAAAAATAAAATAAATCTTAAAAATTTTAAATGACAAGTAAACAAATAATTTTGTAAAAGTGGTGTTAAGCAAATGGAACAAGCAAATCTTTTTTTAATGATGTTGACATAATAAAGCAAAATTAACTTTCCCCTCAACTTTTTCTGGATTAACTTCCGCTTTGCTGTACATTAAAGTATTGCATGCGTGTGTGTGTCCTGTCATTAATTGGTTGCTTACAGCTATCTATGAAATCTTTGATTGGAATATTCACTTGGTTGCAAAATTTACCCAAAAGAATCGTGGAATTAATATTTGATTAGACTCCAGAAAAAAATACTATCTCCAATCCTAATTATAAAACCCAATTGACTAATTTGAGGAGGTTAAGGAAAGAAATTAAATTAGTTATTTGTAATAAATAGGTGTTGTCTTTTCTAAAATATCCTTACTAATCAACTATATTGGCTAGAGCTACAATTATTAGAAGAACTACTTTGAAAAAAATGCATAAATATGAGAGATAAAGTGGATTTGGGTCTTATATTTAGGACCAAAATAAAAGTCAAACATGGTCTTATATTAAGGACCGGAGATAGTATTACCTTCTGTCTTTATTATAAAACCTTATTTATAAATTATAAATAAAATTTTATAATTAAAATTGATAGTACTGATTATACACTTTTCGTGTGAAGGGTAAGGAGTTTAAGAAATAAGCCGTATTTTTTCCATGATTTATTAATAGTGTAACTTAGTGCAGATTTGGCTATATATAGAACAGTGACTGTTTTTATTTTACGGTAAAGTTCGTTTTCCGTTATTTTAATAACGGGTCATAATATATTCTGGATGAAATTATATCACGAAACTGGATATAAATATCTGCGAGTCCTATTTTGTGAATATACATAATGCCCATATTTCATTAGTACACAGGGAATATAAGATTATAATAAATTATACAGCTCATTAAAAAATGTGTGCAAATTGTTTATAGTACAAAAAAAACAAAAGAAAATGAAACTGGGAATCTCAGACTACATGGCATTGTCCAAATCATGTCGAATGATAAAGTAGTCAACAATGGGCCTTCACTCAATCATTATCCCTCTCATCATTCCACTCAAAGGCCCTACCCATGCCCAGGCTCTATAAGCCCAATATTAATTAAGTCATTTGAATTATTTAATTGAAAATTGGCTTAGTGATAAACTAAAGTTCAAATGCTCACAAAAAGAGGTATTCATATTTAGTATCAAACAACATCTTAAATAATATTATCTCCAATAAAAGATACTCCTCCTGTCCTAATTATAAGACCCAATTGACTTATTTGAGGAGATTAAGGAAGTAAGTTAATTAAGTTGGTTATTTATAATAAATAAGTGTTGTCATTCCTAAAATATCCTTGCTAATTAAATATATTGGCTAAAACTATCATTATTAGAAGGATTATGTTGGAAAAAAATGTATAAATATAAGAGACAAAATGGATTGGGTCTTATAATTAGGACCAAATAAAAAGTCAAATTGGGTCTTATAATAAGGACCGGAGGAGTACATATGTTTAGCAAAAAAAATAAAAAGATTGGCTTACCTTAAAAACCATTTTTACCTATTAATCTCAAAATAAATACTTTGCAATAAAATCTATGTGAAGGAAACCACTACTTTTGAACATGTTATTTATTTTCCAAGTTATTATTTATTTTCCAAGTTAATCTTTATAATAATGATAGTTCTAATCAATATACTTGATTAACAAGGATATTTTAGGAAAGACGACACCTATTTATTACAAATAACTAACTTAACTAGTTTTCTTAATCTACTCAAATTAGTCAACTAGCTTTTATATTAAGAACAGAAGGTAGTATCATTTAAACAAGTTTCTGTTAATTTGAGTTTTTCAAACATATCTAAGCATGAATTACGTTATACAAATTTACTTTCACCTCAATTTTAATTTGTAATAATTATCGCTTGGGATAAAACTTACTTCTGTAAACGTTAATTCAGATAAGCTCTTAATCAGTTAAATTAAACTTCATAATGGGTTTGTGTAAAATAATTAGCTAGGATGCATGATGTGAGGTGTGAAATTATAAGATGAAGTGTAAGAATTTATAGAAGAAAGAGATGCAAAGTAGGAAGAGAAGCTGATCGAGCAAGGTGATGACGGTGGCAGGCTGATGAGGATGAGAAGTGTATTTGGGATGGGAAGAGGAACACTTGAGCTCTATGGAGAAAGAGGCATCACTTCCGTCCATTCTGCTTGGCATGAATATCATTTCCCCTCGAACACATTTCAATCTTCCCTCGCTCCATTCCTGTAGGTCCACATTTATACCCACACGATTTAATTTAGAATGAGCACCAAAATTGTAATTATTTACAGGCATTAAATATCATTTTCCCACAAATACCGGATTTGTTTGAGACGTGGATTATATTTTTTTTCCCCTGATTTAATCAGCTGTGGAAAAATTAATCCTCAAAAAAATATCTATTGAATTTCGAAATTCTAAATCAGGAATTATTACAAAAGTCTACTGTCATTTGTTTTTTAAGTATAGTCAAGTGTTATTGAAGTGTAATAAACAAGAATGATTTTGAATTTTAAAATTTAATAGGTATTTTTTTGAGATTTTTCTATTAACTTTTATGGGTAGATTAGCATTATTTTAATAGGACTCCATCCTTGATTTGTTTGAGATTGTTTGTAATCATATACTTTCTCCTACTCTAATTATAACTAAGCACCTCCGATGTGATTCATGATGCAACATGTTTTGTCTAAGCATATTAGTTTTTCCCGCCCATTCCTAATTAATTAGAGGACGATTTAACTAATCAATCCAACTCTTCTAGCTAATGCTGAAAAAAAAAAAACCTCTTCTAGCTAATGACTTTTATGGAGTATAATTTTATATTCTTTTAGTCTTAAATATAAAACATATTTTATAGTGTAGGTCTTACATTTAGAATACACTATAAAATAAGTTTTACCTTTAAGATTGGAGGAGTATTTCATAAGAAATAACAAAGTTTTTACTGAGTTTATTAATATATGCAAAATTGTAATCAGATGCTTATTTAATACTCACAACTCAGACTGATTAACCAAATAAGTGTCAAATAATATAATTCTTACTGTTTGGTAACACTAAATATATACTATTTTTAGTTCTAATTATAAAACTTTGTTTGTAAATCAACAAACAAGGTCTTATAATTAAGACCGGAGGTAGTATATATATTATTTACATACTTGTCATTTGATGAAACTTTTAACATAAGCAATAACTCCTCCAATCTTTAATATAAGACCCATTTAATTAATTTGATTACATTAAGGAAGTTAAGTAAGTTAGTTAATTATAAGAAATGTGACACATTTTTCCTAAAATACCATAATCATCTTTCTTAATACCCCTCTCCCTCTTCTACTTGATTATGGTTGAGGGAGTATCCATAGGAGTAATTTAGAGAAAATTGATAAATATAATAAATGGGTCTTATATTTAGGACCAAAATCAACTCAAGAATTGGGTTCTATATTAAGGACCGGAGGAGTATTAGAAGAACTATTTTAAAAAAAATAGATAAATATAAAAAACAAAATGAACTACGATATTATATTTAAGACTAAATTAAATATCAAATTAGCTCTTACATTAAAAATCCAATTTAGTAGTTCATGTACTATAAAATTATTTAAAGTAAACTAAATGCAATGGCTGATAGATAGATGTGGAATATACAGGAAAGGCTCGTTAAAGCAGAGCAGAGTGGGTTTGATGAGTATGAGATATGTGCATACCTCAAGTTGTTTGCCAAGGGTGACAACAATGGTGTGGGGAGCAGCATCAAAGGAAAGTGGACCTCTTTGGGATTGGACGTAGAAGATGCAGTGCTCCGTGGGAAGGTAAAAACGCAAGGCATGATCCCACAACGTGTCGTTTTGCTCTCCCTCATCATCGTCGTCGTGTGGATACCTGCACACGCACGTCACGCTCTCCATCTCTTCCATCCTCATCATCATCGTCCCCTTCAGTTCTTCTGACAGCGCCATTATCACCTGCTCCACTATTCCCTCCAGTTTCCCTCCCACGCTCCCCATTTGTATCCTGCACTTTCCCAATATTCATCCCTTTCAATTCCTCTTTCCAATTATTCTCTCTCACTCGTTATATGCATATATACAACAACATTATATATGTACCAAAATTTGCGGTGTTTGTGATCATCCAAGAATTTGGGAGCCGTGAATTCAAGTGTGCCCTTGCGAGAACGAACGCAGGGGATTGTGTCTTTAAGACGGTGGCGCTTGTTGTTGTGGCTGTGGGCGTCGGAGTCTTCGAAGAGGCGGCGAGCTTCATTCACCATGAATCTCAAATCCTGCCCTGAAATCCCGTGACCGCAGATCCCGAACGCTCCGAACGCCTTCGCCGATCTCCTCAACACCGTGTCCATTGTCCCTCCTTTTAGCTTCTGGTAATCGATCACCGCCGGCAGGGCTGGATTTCTCATAGCTGCCGGCATGTGTGCGTCCGGCAGCGTTAGTTCCGGAAGGTCCTGTATTGTGTTGTCCAGGTAGTGCCTCAGGGGTTCGTTCGCGGCGTTCCGTGATCCTTTTGCTGTAGGCACCGGAGACGGCGGTGGCACCGGTAACTGGCTGCGGCAGCGCGTTAGTGGCATGACGCTTGCTGGTGATTGCTGAAAATGATGGCCGAATCAAATTGTAGAAATGCAGCAGTGAATACTTCTTGTTTCAACCTTCAAGTATGGGTTAGAGATAGCGCAGGTCTGGTCTTAACGACGATCGCTGGCTAGAATTGGTAAATTTGATGATTTCACATCGAGTCCTTAGGGTAGAAGATTGACCGGAAACAAACTAGAGCACAAAATTCGGATTTTCCCGCTCCGTCCCGTGGAACTAATTCTACTATGCAAGCCAAGAGATCATTCATGCAATCCTGTCCCAGCACCATATTAAGATTCGTGTCCTTAGGCTTTTGTATTTGGTGATTTTTTGTTTAGAATCGTGTACTCATATATATATATGTATATATACATATATATATATGTATATAGTCTCACATAATCCTTCAAGATTAAAATTAGATTAAAATATAATTTAATTTTGATTATAAAATATTGATTCACAAGTCCATTTATAAAATATTGATTCTGAACAGTGCTTAAATATTGCGCATCCCCATATATATATATATATATATATATATATATGTTATTTCTTATAGGTCCGTCGACAAAGTAAGCCAGGCTGAAAATTTGCGTTTATTTTGCTTTGACTGATTATTTGAATAGCTCCAGTTTTGTTCGACCCTTCAGCAATGCATTTTAAAGTCGTCTTCTTTTGTTCTTATTGAGGATCCCTGTACAGTTTGCTATCATTTAATCATTTTTAAGAAGTTGATATCATGATGGCTTATTTCCAGATATTTATATAATGTTCTTTACAATCAAGTGGAAGATTCAGACAATGCCCCTATTGTGTATAACAGGACATCAGAAACCAGCAAGCAAAGCACGACGACAAGTATTGAAAAAAAAAACCCAGCCAAAGCTATAAGAAGATGATCCCAAAATCCATGAGGCTTCAACGTGGAAATTGAAGCATATCCTCCTTGCTTCTTTAAGAACCAGACTTCCATGTGGTTGTGGGATCCAGAAAGCCAATATTCTCAATGGCCCCTACCGTCTTGAACATCCTTCTCTTGTGTATCTCCTCCATTAACGATCTCTGCAACTGCTGGCTCTCACGTCCACATACGACCGCATCCTCGTCATGCTCGTCGGCCGATGATCACCACATCTCCGGCAGCAATCTGCTGTTCTTCGATAGCTCATCTGCTTACTGCAATTGGCTTCCATCTCTTGCGCAGGACAGAATCTTGAGCACTTGTAATTTTCATCACTCTCATCTTCGATGCCCACCACCTCGCATTGATTCATGTTAGCATACTTGAAGGAATTCATGGAGCTTTCTGAGCTTGTATCGTCAAGAAAGGCAGCATCTGGTTATGCAGAAGAGTTCAGATTTCAGAGAATAAATTCAGATAAAGATTAATTTTATTGTTATTATATGAAGGTCTATCTTGTGTATACCTTGAAGCCAATCCTGAGAAAGTGAGAAATGGTTATTGTTCCCACCAAAGAGGTTCTTGCTAGAGAAGCTAAGCACTGGGAGAGAACCATGAGAGGATGATCGTGAGGAAGATGAGAAAAAAGGATGGTGGTTGCTAATATCATCTTCTTCTTCTTCTTCATATCTAAAGCTGTGCTGACGTGGACACTGAGAAGTGCCCCAGTCCTTCCAAGTTGGAACCAGAGCTATTATCTCTTCCTCTATCATTTGAGCTATCTCCAATGGCTCCAAGTCGTTTATTTCCAATTCCCTAACCATCTCAACGGCCACGTCCATTGCAGTGTCATTTATGGTGTCGAAAGGGAAGTATATGTTCCTAACATGTCCTGTTTTCATAAAACATCTCTTGAAATTACATACTTGAAATTGAAAAAAAAAAAAAAATTATGGGTCCGAGGCTGCAATTTTGAATATGAAAACTGCATGCATACCAGTTTTGTCAGATATTTGCACTTTAAGGAAAACTGTGTCATCTTCTTCATTCATTGTCCCCGTTATTGTCATGTTTGTGCCCTTTGTTTGATCAGCCATGGAAGTAGAATGCACCTTGGCGACTCCTGAATTGGAATTGGACTTGTGAGTTTGAATCTTTGGTGATGGCAGGCATGGTGGTGGTGATTCCAGTTGGACCGTGGCTAAAAAGGGATCCAACAAGAGTTCCTTTGCTGGCAATCTCTTCGATGCATCTGCCAAACATTTTCCCACAAATCTCCGCGCTTCCAAATCTTGGATTCTGTAAAATGCATCTGGTAGCTTCCCCTGAGATGAACCAAATTACCTAAGGTTTATGAACAGATCTCGGATCAAAGTAGGAAAAAAATTCAGACCAACTAAATGTCCAATGAATCTTACTGAAGTGACTTTCTTATATATTTGCGCCGGGTTGGAGCACTCGCTGTACGGAAACTCGGAGGTAAGCATCTCAATCATACACATCCCAAAGGAATATATATCTACTAGTTCATTATATTCCTCTTCATACAGTTCTGGAGCCATGAATTCAGGAGTGCCTGAAGTTTAACACCACAATAGAGAAAATTTTTTTAGCTGGATTTAGAATTAGATTGATCATTAAATTGCTTATAATTACTATGCAAGAGGGAGACAGAATCAATGCCTATGACACTGTGGGCATGTTGAGAGCCCCGGAGGATCGCGGCGAGGCCTAAATCGCCAATCTTGACCTGCCCCAGGTGGCCATTGACAAAGATATTATCACACTTGAGGTCTCTATGTATCACAGGAGGATCATGGCAGTGCAAATATTCCAAACCACTAAGAATCTGACGAGCCCAGTTCTTCACAGCTCGAATATCTACCCTACAGTACTTCTTCCTATACCTATATATATGTGTTTAAACCTCATTATAAGATGAAAAACAGATAGTTTCCCAGTTTGAGAAAGAATCAAATCAAAGATTATAGCAAATAAGAGATGGTGGATTATTACTCTCGGAGCGTGCCGGAGGTGAAGAGTTCAGTGATGAAGTTGAAGGTTCTGTGATGGACATCGATCCATGAAGCATGGAAGGTCATGATAGAGTCATGATCAAGGTTCTTGAGCAGATGAACCTCTGAATAAAGACGTTGCAGTTCATCTGGTGAATGAAACACATCTCCAAGCTTGACTTGGTTCCAAGCCACTTCAATTCCTAACACCTCATCAAATGCTCTGTACACAATCTTCATCGCCCCTTTTCCCAGAATATCCCTGAACTGCTTGTATCAACAATAATCATAAGAGCACAAGATTTATTATCATTTATTGACCCACCAATTAATGTCTCAATTAGATATCATTAATTAAGTTTCACATATCTAGTTTTCATCTCTCAAGAGTGACTCTTGGCCCTTGGCGAGCCAGAGGGTTGACGTTGCGTGAGAAAGTGAGGAAGACATGTCATGTGAGCAATAGGGGTCAAATGATGTCATGCCCACTGGGAAATATCGTGCTTGATGTTTTTCTAATTAAAAAATTTGATAAAGAAGAAAAGAGATCGACCTTTTCCCTGGATTAACATGTAGGTTGATTAATCCTACAAAGTTCCACCATAGTGGTCTATGTCTATAATCTAACATAGTTCTAGTGAATTCAATTTCAGCAAGCATCTAACATATTCTGCTCTTAGTTAGATTGAATTGATCAGCAAATCCATCATTAAATAGAAATATACCAACTCACTGATATCCTCCTATATTCAATAAGTCCATGAAGCATCAATTATTACCCAGGGAAAAAAAAGTCAACCAGAGGGGAAATTTACAAAAGAAAAGAATCAGAATCTTACTCTTCCATATCTTCCAGATGGGTCTGTTTCAACATAATGAATCTGAGCCACGCCCATGCCTCCTAATCTCATCTTGTTCATGGCAGGGGACTTCAACCCAGAAAAACCCAACCAACAAATATTGATCGAACCGATGCTTCACGTGTGTATATGTATATATATAAGAACGGAAATCCTAATATTAATAAATTCAGTTCAGAAACAGAGTTTGCAAGTATATGAACAGAAGAAGGAACAGAGAGGGCACTGTACTAGGAAATCCGGGGTTTCCCCTCGTAATTCTCATAACAGAAGACGCCAAACAATAACCAGAAGAGCCTCGAGTAGTCTATACTTAACATGATGGAGGCCATTTCAACAGCGACATGAGAAAGCTCGTAGTGTTTCTGGGAAATCATTTGGGTGAGAGGAGGGAAAAGCAGAGAGCTAAAAGAAAGCCTCTGCTTTGAGAGATCTTTTGAATTGGAGAGGTGGGATTATTATGAGCCCTAGGGCTGAGGGGGGGACAGAGAGAGACTGAAAGAGAGACAGGGCTGAAGATAATTGTGGAGGGAGAGAGTTTGAATGGATTGAACAGTTCAGAAAATGAAATGACCAGAGATGGGAGACAGGGACAGAATTATGATTCTGAATTTGAAGAATCTGTGGCCACGCTTGGAAAAACCCATTTGTGGATGAGAGGAATAAGGATCTCAAAAATCAGATTACAGAGAGAAGAAGGAGGAGGAGTAAAAGGACTCAGATTTTGGAGAAGGAGAGAGAAAGTTTCAGACTTTGGAGAACGTCGTGTTGGGTGCCAATGTGCGTAACACTATAGAGGAAGAGTCGTGGTGGCTGGTAATGCTAGTATATGTACAGAGTCAATACGGGGGAAAAACTGTTTGGTATGATTGATAATTAAGTTTTGACTAAATTATAATTTAATAGCTAAAATTAAGTTTTAGGCTTTTAAAAATATTTAATCTTTTGCATCTTGAATTTAAAATTAAGTTATAAAATTTAGGATATTTCTTAAAATTCAGACATTAAATTATAATCGAGTCAAAATATAGGTTCTAAATTGATTTTTTTCCCCTTCTCATAACGGTAGTGTTGATAATTAATATTGATGACACTGATGCTGATGAGATTAATTTAGAATATTTACTTTTGGCCAAAAAATTAGAATATTTCTTAAAGACAAAAAAGCAATATTTCAAAATATTGAAAACACTTTTAGATGGTTTGCTTATTTCTTAAATCCATTTGATGAAAATAAAAAATAATAATTGTCACGTTTTTGCGTAAGCGGAATTGTTGGTTTCTTGATGTTTTGCTCATCACTTTCATAACTAATTAAATATAATTATTGGATTCAATGTAAGCTTATGGATGGATGTAAAATATCAAGAATGTAAACATTTTGATAATAGACAAATTAAAATGAAACTAGACAAGTCTTTCTAATGAGTACACCAAAAAAAAAGCTAATATTTTTTGTATTACTTAAAATTTTCTGAATTAATCATATTATTTGTAATTTATAAATGGTGTGTA